GAAATTGATAATTAAAATCAACTGGTATAAATACAGATGTAACAAGACAATAAAACAGAACTTGGCTGGAGATCCTGGACAGAACTTGGCTAGAGGTCCTGGCTAGAGAACCTGGCTAGGCTGCTGATCAACTGAACACTGTCTCCGTGACATTCCTTCTTCGCCGACTCCGTCCACACCTTTGGGAACCCCTGGACCATGCATGGGGCTCTGGGCTCTGGGCTCCATGCTCAGGAGGCATTCACAGCCCCCAGTGTGAGTGGGAACTGTTAGGGATTTTCTGGGAGAGTTGAGCCAGAAGGTTATTATCAGGTTTGGGCCGGAGGGATCCCAGTGTATTTCTGAACAAGAGTTTGGAAGGACCTGAGGGTCTGAGCAGCCCCAGGGAGGGGTGCAGGCCTGAGGCCAAGAGGCTGGGCCAGAGGGCAGGATTGAGCATTTCAAAATCTCACTCCAGGCATCCACGAGGGTGGTGCCAGCCCCGCCTTGAGCAGACTGCTGCCCCTCTTTACTGCCACCTAGAGGGAACTCTGAAGACAACCTGCCTGCCTGGGATGTCTTGGTATTTTGGGGACTCAGTCAACAAAGAAGCCCCTGATGGGAAGATGTCCCCAGGGAACTACCATGCCACACCTTCTTCACTTCCTGCCAACTGAAGCTTTACTCCCAGCCAGCGCCTCTGTCCCTGTCACCACTTCCCCGTGGACCTGCTGGTGCTCCTTAGGGCCGGAGGTCTCACAGGTCAGGAGACAGCTCTGAGCACAGGCCGGGGGCTGTGACCTGCTGGTGCTCCTTACGGCCGGAGGTCTCACAGGTCAGGAGACAGCTCTGAGCACATGCCGGGGGCTGTGACATGGTTTACTCCTTGGAATCACTTATTGACACACTTCCCCATTAGCATGTAACCTCTTTGAGAGCAGGGATGGTGATGCCACTATTTAGACATCTCTGTACCCAAGTTAGTACTGGGGGCCAGTAGGCGATGAGTAAATGCTCCCTGAATGAACAGACACATGCATTTCCTGCTCTACAGATTCCTGTTCAAACTTCTTTTTGTATTTTTTTGTTGTTGTTAAACCAACTGCCACTTGTGATAAGCTCTCTTGCAACTCCTCCCTATGCCCCTAATGGGGGAACTCTTGACCCCAGCTAGGCCAGTCAAGCTCAATCTGTTTGTTGGGAATTTTAAACTTCAGTGAGCAACACGGGAACAGAAAATATTCCAGGGGGGCTGTTGAGGAGGTTGTCCTGAGGCCTGCATCCCTGAGGCCACCTTACGTGTCCTTTCTGAGGCCTGGTTGGTCAGTTTTCTTTGGTCTCTGAGTGCTATAGGCTGAATTTTTGTGTGCTCCCAAAATGTATATGCTGAAACCTACTCCCCAGTATGATGGTGTTTGAAGGTGAGCTCTTTGGGGGAGGGGTGAAAGGGACAGAGGCGTCTTGAGAGTGAAGCCTCCATGAGTGGGATTAGTGTCCGCAGAAGAGAAACCCAGGAGCCTTCCCTCACCCCCTGTACCGTGTGAGGACACAGCAAGAAGATGGCTCTCTATGAACCAAGAAGTGGGCTCTCACCAGACACTCAATCTGCTGGTCCTTGATCTTGGACTTCCAGCTTCCAGAACTGGGAGAAATAAATATCTGTTG